ATTGCCGTCGGCTGCTGTTGTTGTCGCTGCCGGCTCCTGACCGCCGTTGTTGTTGGCTTTGAGAGCTGCTGATGCGCGCTGCCGCTGTCGCTGTTGATGACGTAGCTGCGGTTGTTGTTGCCGTTGGCTGCGAGAGCGAGCTGTTGTTGTGGCCGCTGCTCGGGCCGGTGTTGAGGCCGCTGGCCGCTGTTGATGACGTGGCCGTTGTTCTGGCCGGTGTGGTGGCCGTTGTTGTCGCCGTCGTTGCTGGCGCGGATGACCGGTGCTAGGGCTGTTGTTATTGCCGCTGCTGTTGGCCGCTGTTCTGGCCGTCGCTGTTGGCCGCTGTTCTGGCCGTTTGTTGTGGCCGGCGTTGATGACGTCGCTGTTGATGACGTGGCCGTTGTTCTGGCCGGTGTTGTGGCCGTTGTTGTCGCCGTCGTTGCTGGCGCGGATGGCCGGTGTTAGGGCTGTTGTTATTGCCGCCGCCAGTATTGGTGGGGAGTCGGACGACTCCTCACATCCTCCCCTTACTTCGGGGTGCGCTGAGAGATGGTGATCGTGTTCGCCTTGCTGAAGTGGACCCTGAACTCCACGGTGCCCGCGTAGAACAGGAACTTCCTGTTCACTCGCCTGTTCGCGGCCTCCTGCGGTTGGACTCGCTCGACCACAGAGCGTGGGATCCGTCCTCCCGGGATCCGGATACGCCAGTGTCGCGGCGGCAGGACCCAGTCCTGAGCGGCGGTGGGGAATTCCTCCTTCTCCTCGGCTGCGGGGGTGACAGACGGACCCTTGATCGGCACCGGTGCAGAGCGGTTGCGCTGCTCAGCTCGCGCGAGGCGGGCCTTGGCGCGGCAGTCCTTGTCATACTGCACCATCCAGGGATCGGGTGGCAGCTCGCTCGCGCTGCGTTTGGGCTTCGGCTTCGGTTTTAGGCCGCATATGACCCCGCCCGCGGTGAAAATGGTGCGTCGGGCAACGTCGGCCGCGTCGAAGTCCGACATGCTGCTGGCCCTGGTGACGCCGGGGTTGTCCTTCGCCCGCGTGTATCTCGCGCCGATGGGGACCACGTCGCTGTCCTCCTGGCTGCCGTCGTCGTCTGCTGTGCCCACGTCGCTGCCCTTTCTGCGAGGGCCTGAGACGACTACGTCGTCGCTGTCGCTGCTCCCGTTCGGTCGACCGTGGCGGCACTCCTTGAGTGTTGGTGACCTCGGGGGTCCCCACGGCCGACTCCGAACACCACCCGGCGACGTGCGACTGGCACCCGGTTGGGCACCGCCGCGGCTGCGCCGGCGTGGCTGACTGCCCGATGGAGATCAGGCAACGGTCTCTTGCCCGACAAGATTTCGTCGGCGTGTTCCATGGCCTCGCTGAAGGCCTCCGAGTCAATGTCCTCGGGTAGGACTCCCGCCTGGGTTCCGGTCTTCTCGGGGCTCGGCTCTCCCTCGGCTGGATACCCCAGCACCACGTCCTCCGTGCGGGAGACTTCTACGGTGGCCACGGCTGATGTTGCCACGGCGCCACAAACGGCTCGGATTGTCCGACGCCATTGTCTCTGTAGAGGGAGAAAAACAAAGGTTTATTAGCTCGTGGTTGTGACTATTACTAACTAAGGTTTTAAGGAAAGTTAGTAATTAGGGCAAAATGTTTCGCTGCGATGGCACTGGGAGCGTTGAGTTTCCACTAGGGAAAGTGGGACGTTGGGAAGGCGCACCCTCCAACAAGTGGCCCCACTGACTCAATTATTGGCTCCTGTATCAGTGTTCCTAGGTGGCTCTCGCCTCGGCCAGATCGAGCGTCGCTCGTCGGCTTTATTTGGGCAAGTTTATTTGTCGTTGTGCCGTCTTCATACGGACTTCCGGGGTTGCTGCTGCGTGGCTATCGCCGGGTGTTCTCCCGCCGTCCGCGGGCATCCTTTGTCTGCTGGGTCTCTGCGGCTGCTGCGACTCCTCTGCTCACGGGTTTAGCGCTCCTCGATCGCTAAACTTCTTCCGTCGGCGGTGTGTCTTCTGCGTGGTCTAGTCGGCTGGGCACCAGATTCTGTGTTTCTGGTTCGTTGACTGCTTCCTTCAAATCTCCAAGGGCTGCTGTTCGACGTTGCCGGCTGTGAAGATGCTGCAAGCGCACTATGGTGGGAGAGAAGAAGTTGATTACTTTGTAAGGGCCTTCATATTTGGGAGCTAGCTTGGCGGCAAAGTTATCCGCCGCCTTGGACAAATGATGCTGCTTTACAAAGACCAGTGATCCTATGGTTGGCCTCCATGAACGTCGTCTGAGATCATAATACTTGCGCTGTTCCAACGACGCCCGTTGAGTGTTCTCTCGAACCACCTTGAAAATATCCCGTAGCAATTCCGCCTTTGCTTCTGGTGAATGTGGCGCTTGGCTTGGCCCTGGAGTCACCTTATCATACAAGGCTCCTGGGAGTCGTGGCTCTCGGCCTTGAACGATGAACGCCGGACTAAATCCGGTTGAGTCTGAGATGCTGCTATTTATCGCCAGGTTCAATTCGGGCAGGAGTTCGTCCCAAGTCGTCTGCTTGTCCTCGATATACTGGGCGACCATTGTTTTAATGGTTCGATTGGCCCTCTCTGTCGGGTTCTGCTGCGGGGTATTGTAAGGATGCTATGGCCAGGATAATGACTCAGTCGGCTCAGGAGTCCTCTACAGAAAATATTTATAATTTTACGGAGACAGGCAGGAGAAAGGACGGGCCCGAAGGCCGGTATGTTTATTTGGGTGCGAAAAGGGGCCGGCGATGGTCAGGAAAACTCCCGAAATCCGGGCAACCGGCTCCGCAAGCCGTAGTCCGATTGCCAGATCCGAGACGAAGGCACATCTTCCGAAGTCGGACCGATCCCGCAAAGCCGGGGTACCGGTGTTCCCTGATCTCCGAATGAGCGGCCCGAAGTGAGAGCTGCCGGCCACGCATGCCATGTGCCGGCCGCCCTGGGTTCCCGAGAAGGGATATCGAAACGGCGAGTCGATCCCGCAGGCCGAGTACCGCCCCGCCGCCTCTGGGTGAGATGGGGCCGCCCGGAATCGGAGGAGACCGGTCCCGCAAGCCGAGATCCAGTTCCCCCGATATGTCCCAACAAAACGGGGCCCGAGTGAGGTGGGGAATCGTCCGGAATCGGAGGAGACCGGTCCCGCAAGCCGAGATCCAGTTTCCCCGATATGCCCGAACAAACGGGATCCGGGTGAGGGCCACCAGCCACGCAAAACCATGTGCCGGTCGCCCTGGGTGTCGGGGAAAAGGGCTCCAAAACGGAGAGACGGTCCCGCAGGCCAGTACCGCTTCGCCGCCTCGGGAGAGAAAATGTGGACACCTAACCGGGAAGAAGGCCGATCCCGCATGCCGGGGTACCGGCCCCACCTCTAGGGAAGGAGAAGCGAAGGGTTGCCGACCACGCTGGCCATGTGCCGGTGGCCCTTGATCTCCAGAAATAATGGGGCGCCGAGAGGGTAAATAATATTCCGCTGTTGAGTTCATTTAACTAAGTCCAGAGTTTATTTACAGTATTCTAACTTCCTAACTGTTCCCTATCAATTCCTAACCTAAACGCACTCGAAGTTCCCCACCCCGCAGGGGTTGGCCCTTGGCCAGCTCACCAGTAGTTTACTCCAACTCCATTTTGGGCACGTGGCCGGCGGCGGGGTTTTATTCCAATGGTATTCCTTTTAGCTCCGTGGCACGTCTGGTCTGTTGCTGGTATTCCGAGAGAAGAGGCCGGGCTCGGCTTGTCGAGGCCCTTTTATAGGCCGTCGGCGATCGGTGGCGTCGTTTTTACTCCCGACTTCGGGAAGCTTCGGGTGAGCTTCGGGTGAACTTCGGCTGGTGTCATGGCCGCCGATCTGCTACTCGGGCCCTGTCGTGTGTGCCGACGCCATGCTTCGGCTGATCGGGCCTCGCCTTCGGGTGTTTGCCGAAGACGGTTCGGCTGGCCGTCCTTCGGCTCGGTCGGCTGCCGGCTTCGGCTGCTCGTGTGTAGGTTCGGCCGCTCTCGGCCGCTCGTTGTTCCCTTCGGCTTTTCGTGGTTCTTCGGCCGCTCGTGTGTGTGTTCAGCTGCTCTCGGCCGCTCGTTGTCTCTTCATTGTTTTCTCTTAGATCTCGAGCGCGTTTCTCTTAACGCTAGTCCCTACTACTAAATCCCTAACTAGTGTGCCCTTCGTGGGTCTTAGTATTTGTCGCTAACGTCGTAATGTTTAATACTAAAAGTAGATGTTACCTTACGTGCTAGGGATAAATGAGCTTATAGACTATAAAATTGAAAATGAACTTAGATACTAAAAATGGAAATGATCTTACACTACAAAACTGGCCCTGGTTGTGAGGCCTCCTCACACTCCATCCCTACCTCGGGGATGGGGAAGGACGGTGACGCGGTCTCCGCCGCGTGAAATTTGGACGCGATAAGATATGTCGCCCACCTCCACCAAGAACCGCAGGTATTTTGTGACAGGCTGCTGGAGGCGCGCCTGTACTTGCGCGACGAGTTCGGCGGGAAGCCAGCCGTCCTGCGTTGTCCAGCCTGCTGGAGCGCGCACCCAGTCCTCCGGCTCGGGCTCGGGTTCGGAGTCCGTCGATGCCTCCTCGTCCGAGCTTGGCTCTTCCTCGGGCCAAGGGGCGCGGCGTCGGCGGCCCGCATTGCGCAGGATGCCGGGGCGGTCGTCGGTGGGCGCGTCCGGGTCGCGGTATGCAGGGGCGCGGCGAAAACGCCAGCGGTATTCGTCCGTGGCGGGCAGTGGCCGTACCCGCTGGATCGGCCGGGATGCGGCCATGGTGTGTAGCCAGCGGAGGTACGCGGGTTGGGGCTGCTTGCAGCAATCTCTCGCTGGCTGGCTGGCTGGCGGCAGCGGATGTCGTGGGCCCCTCTGGCGAGGCCAGCAGCTCTGCCAAGAGTGGTCCGAGGGTGGCGCGGGCGTCAGGTGGCCCCGAGCGAGGGGGTGTCCTCTGGCCAGTGGCGATGTCAGGTGCGTTAGCGGCGGTAACGGCGTTGGTGTCGGCGTCAGGAGCATGGCTAGCGGTGGCGGCCATGCAGTTGTTCTGGCCGGTAGTGACACTGATGCTGTGGTGTCCATGGCTGCTGCCCCCAGCCCTGGCAAGGGTGGTTTCCAGGGTGACGGGGCGGTCCGCCGGCAGCGATTCCGGTGACTCTCGCGTCCCCGAGGGGCGTCGCGTTGGTGGTCCCGGTGGCTGCTGCCGCGGCCGTTGATGCGCCCATGAGGCGGGCAATGTTCCCGTTGGGATTGTCCCGTGGGTTGGCCGTGGTCTCCCCGGCGTTGTCCTCCTCGTCGGAGATGAGGATGGCGTCCTGCGCTGGGTCCGGCTCCTCGTCTTCGCCGGAGCTTAGCTCCATGATCTCATCTTCGGAGATGTCTTCGTAGACCGCTCCCAGGGTTCCGGGAACGGCTACGGGCGGATGTCGGGCGACCATCGGCTCGACAGTCGGCGAGGCGGCCGGAGGCTCGTGGCTGGCCAAGGCGGCCGGGCGCTCGTGGTTGGCCAAGGCGGCCATCAGCTCCTCGTGTGGAGCGGCGGTCAGGGGGCTCATTGTGAACCAAAGCGGTGATCATGGGCTCGTCGGGAGCCAAAGCGGTGGTCATGGACTCGTCGGGAGCCAAAGCGGCGGTCATGGGCTCGTCGGGAGCCAAAGCGGTGGTCATGGGCTCGTCGGGAGCCAAAGCGGTGGTCATGGACTCGTCGGGAGCCAAAGCGGTGGTCATGGGCTCGTCGGGAGCCAAAGCGGTGGTCATGGACTCGTCGGGAGCCAAAGCGGCGGTCATGGGCTCGTCGGGAGCCAGAGTGATGACCATGAGCCCGTTGTTGGCGAGAGGGGTGGCCAGGTCGGAGATTCTTAGCGCGGCCATCGACTCATCGGGAGCCCCGGTGGCAGGCGGGCTTGGGTTTCTGCCCCGTCCGGGTAGCGTCGCCTCTGCCTGGAAGTCGCCCAGGCAGAACGGTGTCGGGGCCCCGTCCTCGGCCAGGATCGCGGCCATCATATCCTTTAAGGATAATCCCTCGCACCAGGTCAGGCTGATCCTCGGCGAGGATGGGGATCCGGTGGCAGCTTCCACCAGCGGCGTTGGCTCCAGCGGGACGGCAGCGGGTGGTTCCGTGCTGATCGTCGTAGCTGGCTGGATCGGCAGATCCACTGCGGCTAGCGGCGATGTTCCGTCATCGTCGACGGTGATTGGCCGACGGATCGGGGCCAACGGCGGTGGTGACCCAGCACTGGTCGGCTTTGCAGCCGGGCGGGATCGCTGACCAGTGGCTGCCGGCGGCAGTGGTGCGATCTGGGCGTCCATCGCTGGGTGAGGTCGCCGTTGGATGGGCGTCAGTGGTGGTGGCGACTCGGGGTGGTCGCGGCCCGACGGAGCAGTTGGCGCAGGCTGGGCTGTAAGCGATCGTTGCTTCGGATGATGGCGGTTGCGTTGCTCCTTGCGTGGCATCTCGAAAACTTTTGTGCGCTTGAAAGCTCCCACGCTACCATTTGTAGCTTAACGGACGTCGAGGGCGGTATCGAATAATCGATATCTCGTGCGGCGTGGTTATCGCCCGGCAGTTAGCCCTTTCTGGCGATCTGGCAACTCTGTAGGTGAACTCTGGATGGCTGTGGAGAGTAGAAAATAAGGATTAGTTTTCCTCCCCTGGAACTGGCGATTCCCCTCAGTGGATTCCTAGGCTATTCTCCTGTGCCCCCCACGATACCCTGGTCACTCCCCCTTTGGCCGTGGCGTCGTCGTCGTGGTCATCAGCCTGCCTGGTGCGTCCATTCGTCTGTGTTGGGTCGTCGCTCTGGCCGTTTTCGTCGTCGTCGTTGTCGCTGTCTTGGTGATATGGCTTCAGGTTCTGAATGCAGGCGGTGCGTCGGCGGCGGCTCCCCGGAATCTGTAGCCGTGCTATATTCGGAGAGGGGAACTTGATGACCCGGTATGGCCCCTCGTATTTGGAGGCCAACTTGGCGGCAAAGCCTTCGGCGGCGTTTGACAAAACATGCCGACGCACGAGGACTAGGGATCCGAGTGGTGGTCTCCACTCGCGTCGGCGCAGGTTATAGTGCCTTCCTTGCTCTGCGGTGGCTCGTTCTGCGTTTTCCCGGGCGACCTGGAAGATGCTTTGGAGCTGCGTACTCCTCTCCGTAGGCGAAAGTTGAGCCGTCCCTCTTCCTGGTGTGACTTCGTCGTAAAGGGTGTTCGGCAGGCGTGGTTCCCGGCCCTGTACGAGAAAGGCGGGGCTGAATCCTGTAGTATCCGATACGCTGCTGTTAATTGCCAGAGAGATCTCTGGCAGAAGATGGTCCCAGGCACTCTGCGGCGAGTCTCCGAGGTATTGTGCGATCATAGTCTTCACGGTCCGATTTGCCCTCTCCGTGGGATTTTGCCGCGGCGTGTAAGGCGCGGTATGTTGCAATTGTATTCCCAGGGAACTGCAAAAAGCTTGAAAGGCCCGGCTGGTGAATTGCGTTCCACTATCGCAAACTAGAGTCCTTGGGATTCCAAACCGGCTGAGTATCCGCTCCCGAAATGCTCGCTCGAGGTACGGCACTGATGCGCGGCGTAAGGGGACGAGTTCCACCCATTTACTGAAAATGTCAAAGAAAACGAGGAGCACCGTGTTCCCTTGCTTGGATCGTGGCAGGGGTCCCACGAAGTCGGCGCACAGCACATGAAATGGCTCGTCGACTTGCCGTGTAAACATCTTTCCGGCAGGCTTTTCCTGGCTTACTTTAAACTTCTGGCAGCTCGGGCATCGTCGCACATACTGGGCCACCTCTCGGAACAGGCCTGGCCAGTAATATTTCTGGGCCACCCGCGTACTGGTCTTGCGGATGCTTAGATGTCCAGCCGTTGGGTGGTCGTGGCACTCTTCCAATACCCTTCGTCGGTATGCGGCTCCCACGCAGAGTTTCCACGGCGTATAGTCTTCTTCCTCGGGGCGTAGACCTATGCGTCGGTACAGCTGACCGTTCTCCTCCCGGAAATCTGGAAACTTCGCTGGCTCCTGTTGAATTCGTCGCAGCAGCTTATGGATCCATTTGCATTCGTTGCCCTGCACCTGCGCCTGTTGAACAGTGGCCAGCGGCTGGCGTGACAATGCGTCGGCGACCAGATTCTGGCTCCCGCGTCGATAGCTGATATCATACTGGAACTGTTGTAGCTCCAGCGCCCACCGCGCGATCCTGCCCGTGGGGTTGTCGATGGAATTTAACCACTTGAGTGAATGGTGGTCAGTTAGTACCTCGAAGCGGTATCCCTCGATATAGCAACGCATTTTTCGGATGCCCCACACGATGGCGAGACATTCTTTCTCCGTCACGGAGTAGTTCCGTTCTGCGTTGTTTAGTCGCCGGCTGGCGTATGCGACGACTCGTTCCTGTTCGTCTATGGTTTGGGTTAGCACCGCCCCAATACCATACTCGCTCGCGTCGGTTTGCAGTACGAACTTCGCCTCGAAGTCCGGGCAGGCTAAGATTGGAGCCTCGGTTAGGAGCTTCTTCAATAGGTTGAAGGCCTGTTCTTGCTTCTCAGCCCACTGCCACTTCCGATCTTTCTTGAGTAGAGATGTCATCGGTTCGACTACGTCCGCGAAGTTGGGCACGAAACGACGGTACCATGAAGCTATCCCAAGGCATCGGCGAAGTTCCTTGAGATTCGTTGGCGGCGGCAGCTCCCGTATGGCGGCGACCTTCTCTGGATCGGTCTGTATTCCGGCCTCGCTGATAACGTGGCCCAAATACGTTAGGCTGCGCTGGAAAAACTGGCACTTGTCCCGGTTCAGCCGTAGATTTGCCGCTCTGAGTCGTCGGAACACCTCGCGTAGATTCCGGAGGTGCTCCTCGAGTGTAGCTCCGATCACGATGATATCGTCAAGATACGCGAAGGCGTGTGGCTCCATATCCGGGCCAATGACGGTATCCAGGGCTCGTTGAAAAGTTGCCGGGGCCGAGTGCAGGCCAAAAGGCATCACTTTCCAGTGAAACAAGCCGCGACCTGGAACGGTGAATGCGGTACACTCACGGCTGGCTGGTGCTACTGGGATCTGCCAGTACCCGTTCTTCAGGTCCAACGTGGATATATATCGAGCGTTCCGAAGCCGCTCCAATATATGATGGATCCTCGGCAAAGGGTAGGCGTCCGGTATGGAGTTCTCGTTCAGCTGCCTGTAGTCCACACACATCCTGACGTCTCCATTCTTCTTAGCGGCGATGACTATCGGAGCACTGTGAGGGCTCCTGGAGGGCTCGATGCGCCCGTCGCGTAGTAGCTCGTCAATCTGGCGGTCGATGACGGCTCTCATCGCAGGGTTCCTGGGATGGTATCGTTGTTTAATGGGGCGGTCGTTGCGCATTACGATACTAAGCTCGGCGATGTGAGAGACGCCGGCAAGGGTATCGAATCGCGCCAGCTCTCGTTCTAGGAACTCTTCCACCCAGGGTTCTGGGTAGTTCCCGTCCTGGCCGTTGGGGCGTTGCTCCTCCTCGGTGCTGCATCTGGCGTTGGCCATTCCGCAAGATGGTGTGCTCTCGCTCGTGGATGATTCTGGTGCCCGGAACCGAACTCTCTTGCCCGTTTGGCGAAAGGGGTTCCGGCGGACAGCAGATGCGTCGGGGAGTGGCAGGATTCCTGCCCAGCTTGGAGGTGTGCCCGCGTCTCCGTGGGCGTGGCGTTGGGTGCCCTCTGGGCGAGCGTGTGTGGGTGCAGCCATGCGATGTCTCTGGGCGTGGTGTTCTTGTGGAGGGTCTTCCTGCTGTGTATCTGGCGGTAGCTCGGGTGGCGATGTGGGTTGCGGCTCCGGATTCACCCTGGCGGTGGCTCCTGCCGTTTCCTCTGCGTCTGTGGGTTGTGTGCTCGGGGGTGCGTGTGCTCTGGCGACGGTGTCTGTGGGGTGTGTATCCATGTTGTTGCTCCGTGGTAATGTGGTTGCGCACTCGCTGAGTGCCGAGTCTGCTGCGCTGGTCTCCGTGGCTCTGGGTTGAATGGGTGGCTGGAGCTTGAGGGTTTGGCCGCCGCACTGTAGTGTAGCCCCGGTCGGGTTCGGGTGGCAGCCGTTGGAGGCACGAGGACGTGGCATCGGCGGCGTGGTACGTGCGTCGGGCGGATTCTCTCGGGTTTGCGGAGCCTGGGTACTGAATAGGCCCTCAGCGTCCCGTCGGTTCGGTGGGTATCCCCGAGTGGTGCGCTCCCCTCGGCTCCTGGCGACTTCGAAGTTCACCACCAGGTGAGTGAGCTCGGTCAAGGTCCTGAAATCCTGGCGACGTGTAAACATCTGGTATTCTGGCAGCATGTTCTCATATATCCGTTCAAGCTCTTGCTCGGGTGAGAACCCTGCGCGGCGCATCTTCAGACGAAGATCGACGAGGTATTGTTTAAACGGCTCGTTCGGCTTCTGGCAGTGGGCTCGGATTTCGTCGTCAAGGCGTTGATAGTACCTAGGCGGTAGAAAGAAATCCAGGAACTCTCGGCGCACTTGTGCCCAGGTTCCTCCCTGCAGGCCACTGGTACGAAACCAGCTCTCCGATCTGCCGGATAGAAGTACGACGATGGCGTTGGATAAATACTTCCTATCGATCCGGTACGTGTCTGCCCGTTTCTCGATTAGTTCCACGAAGCTGAGCGGGTCCGAGGTGCCATCGAAGGACAGCCCCCACTTGGTCATCTTGTCCACCAGCATGGAGCTGGGGTTCATGTCGAACTGAGAGGCCCCACCGCGTGGAGATCCCTCGGATTTCCCGCGTGATATTGGTGCTGGCGACGTGCTGCGAGGCACTGCTAAAGTATGATTCGTGGCCTGAACGGGTGGGGCGAAGGTTCCGGCAAATGCGTCCGGGGCTTGCGGCAATGGGGACTTCGGCTTTATGTCTCCCGTCGGGGAGTTTCCGTAGCGTAGCTCCATCTCGTCGAGTCGAACCTGAACTGCGTCGGGGAGCTCGGGTTGCCTCGCGAAAGCAATGAGTCGCGCCCGCTGCTCTTCAACCGTACCGGCGCGTTCTAAGCCAAACTCGAGTAGGATGGCGTCGAGTTCGTGCTTCTTTCGGTAGGATATCCAGGTGACACCCATTTTACCGGCGGTGGAATCTCCGCGGCGTATGCTACCGGTCGCGAAATCTGTCGTAGCGTTAACGACGATAATCGAACGGGGTTCCGATTCTGGGCACGTGGCTGAGGCGGCTCGCCAATTGTTCGCGGCACGGCTGGTGCTAGGATTGTAGTTCGACGCGTGTCCTGGCAACGATCGCGAGGGAAGATCAGGAAACCCGTTCGCGTATCGAGATCGAAGGCGCGGGAAGGGAAGCGTATCCCTGAAGCGCGGGGACGCACGGCCGAGGTCCTTGAGTGGCTTGGTTTAGCCTCGTAGCGATGGTTGAGGGTCCAGAACCCTGATCCTGGAGCGTATCCCTGTTGTAGTACCCTGCTGCTGCTGCTCAAGGACCCTTGAGGTATCCTTGGAG